GGGGTCTCTGTGATTATGACTGAGAAGGATGAGTCTGACTCCTAGGTACCCCATAGAACAGAGGAGATGAGCCCCTTTGGATATCCCAAATTGGAAATCTTTACGAGACTAGGTAGCCTCATCTCTCTGCTGTGGAGTGGCTGGTGGGCTTGAACCACTGACTACGTGGCCAGCAGCTCTGTGAGTAGCCCACTGTGCCACCCGGTTCCCTTGGGTTTTTACGAGCTTGTGTTCTCCGCTTCCACCTGGCTCCTCATTTTCTTCCCAACTGTTGGCCCTACTGAGCTTTGGCAAGCCCAGGCACACTTTTGGGCTGCGGCTAGAGACACACAGAAGGGGCTTTTCCCCAGCAGGGACCGCACGCAGCAGTTCTCACGTGCTTGCCCCACAGACTGAACACACAGGGCTGCCTAGATTGCCCACAAACTCCAGCAGGCTTGCACACATCTGTGCTTCCCGCAGGACTGGGGACTATTCCTGCACCCCGCTAGCTTCCCTCACCAGGTCTTCTTTTGTCCAGATCTCTGACAACCCTTACGATGAAAACACGCGACTCACGGTGATCATGTATGTCAGAGTAGAACTGAGCTCTTTGGGCTCGTCAATGGCTGATGTTTTGGAAGTCGGTTGCCAGACCTTTCGAAGTGGGCTTGAACGTTCAACCTCTTTGGTTACCAGCCAAACGCTGCCCCAGGGACTTTGTTAAGACCCACGTCAGCAAATGAACCCTCAGTTTTCATCTTGACGCTGCTTTCCGGAGAGGTCCAGGAACTCACAGAGTTATGCTTCCGTTCTGCCGAATTCCACATTAGATGGTGATACAGCCTGACCCAGGCTGCCAGCTGGGCAGGCAGGCTGGCACAGGCTGGCAGACTCAATGTTGTATCTGCTTATTAAGCTTTTCCTTAGATGTGTTCTGAATGACCATACACTCACTGCCATCACATCAATGCTGACTCATAGCAACCCCCTGTGGGTTTCGGAGACGGTAACTATTTACAGGAAGGAGTAGAAAGCCCACTCTTTCTCCCGGGAAGTTGCTGGTGGTTCCGAACTGCAGACCATGTGGATCATGTGGATCAAAGCCCCATGAATAGCCACTACACCACAGGGGCGCCATCTGACCGACCAAAGCAAACCACATGTTTTTCCCATTCTCTCTAACGAGCACGGCCTTGTCTGATTCCCAGATCTTGGTCTACTCTCGTGAGTTTGTGAGTTGGATGGGAATACCTCATTAAGGGAATTACAGTGCAGAATACGTTTGTCCCCTGAGCTTAATGATATCTCAACAAGATTAAAATACCCACTGTAAGTAGAAATGGGCTTTATTTCCTCAAAAAAAAAATGATCATGCCCTCTGAATTCTCATTTATTGCGGTGGAATTAATTCCTTATATGCAGGCTGCCAATTGAAGAGAATGTTTTGTTTGGTTTTGTTTAAAGAATGGGACTCAAAGAGGAGCCATCTCATTGAGTGGGACTACAAGACACTTTCACTCATTCCTCCCCCCGGGGACCCTCTTACCATTGTGATGACCTGTGGTTTCCTTCGCTTGGCCAAGTCGATGATATCCACTCCATTGTAATAGAGATTTTCTAAACACCCATGGAAGTTTTTCTGCAAGAAGGACGCTGGTGTTCCAGGTGCTGAAATCCCTCCAAAGCTGATCTTAGAAAGAAAAATGGCATCAATAATACTGTTTAGTGATTTTCTGAGAATCTGCTTCAGTATCTGTGATTAGCAAGTGTGACTGTAATCGTCATGAATGGACTGATGTTTCATCATCCTGGTGGTGCTTTGGGTAAAAGTTGTTTGGCTCACCACAGGTTGGTGGTTCAAGCCCACCAGATGCTTGGAGGGAGAAGAATGAGGCTATCTGGGACAGTAAAGATTCACGGTCTCAGAAACCCTATATGGGGTCACGATGAGTCAGAATCAACTCAGTAGCCAGGTGTGCTTGTTTGTTTGTTTTACATTGTCATATTGTCCATTTTAAATGGAACCTTGGGGAAAGATTCGTGATTTAAAGCAAATTGATAAGCACTCTGCTTCTATGATCCTTACTTACTCACTACCCTCTAGTTCAGTGGTTCTGAACCTTCCTAATGCCGCGACCCTTTCATGCAGTTCCTCATGTTGTGGTGACCACCCCCCAACCATAACGTTATTTTCGTTGCGACTTCATCACTATCATTTTGCTACTGTGATGAATCGGATAACCGCAGGTTGAGAACCGCTGATCTAGTTGATTCCGATTCATATAGACCCTGTGGGACAGTGTAGAACT